TACTGATTTTTGCTCACAACAAAAGAAAGCAGAGTGTTTAGGATTTGATCCCTCATTTCCCTCTGCTTCAGGGTCTCTGATTCTGGAGAATTCCTTTGCTAAATCCCCCTCTCCACTTTAGCCTGAAAGAGCTAATAGGCTTTCACAATATCAGTTTCTTTTCAAAACCCAGTGTGCACCTGGTTTGGGGATTAAGCCAGATCATGCTTTGAGATAACTAATATTATTCTTTATGTAGAGACACTTGAACTGTGGATCAAAGAAGGTAAGAAATTATCTCAAGATAACAATCAGGAAGATAACAGTGAATTCAACACACAAATATGACCCACCACTCCCGTGATCTAATTCTAAGATATTGAAAAAAATTCTCTTTCATTTGATTAAACCAGGCTGTCATGGTGTGCCAACAGCGGCTTGAAAACAAGGTACGGCAAGGAACCGGAAATGTAACGGGCTGAGGCCCCCACTCGGCCCACGTGCTTGTTTGTGGATTTCATATCAAAAGTCTATGGCTGAAACCCACAGGAATGAATTCAATGCATATAATCTGGAAGTTATATAAGGGATCAATTTTGCAAGTAATTTCTTGAACTCTTAAGAATGTTGAAGATCATAGGACCCATTGGTTCATTTCTTGTCATGTATTGATCATTTCTATTTCACCCTTTACCTTCCTCACATTATCAATAAATCACAATGGAATGTCTGAGTGTTTTGTTTTAAATACCTGCATTTACAAAATCAGCCTGGGCACTGGGAAGGAGAAGAGAGAAGAAACTTAGTTTTGCAGGTTTAAAATGAAGAGACAAGGGGTGACTGGATGGCTCAGTGGGTTAAAGCCTCTGCCTTCGGCTCAGGTCATGATCCCAGAGTCCTGGGATCAAGCCCCACATCAGGCTCTCTGCTCAGCGGGGAGCCTGCTTCCTCCTCTCTCTCTGCCTGCCTCTCTGCCTACTTGTGATCTCTGTCTGTCAAATAAATAAATCTTTAAAAAAAAATAAAATGAAGAGACAAGGGGCGACTGGATGGCTCAGCTATGGCTTGGGTCATGACTGCCTGGCCGTGAGATGGAGCCACACACAGCACTCCACGTTGGCTCATGGTTTGTGGTGACTTTGTAGAACACAACTACCATGAGTAACGAGAGTGGACAGTATTTCTCTATTACCTTGCTTTCCTTAATTAATTTGTTAGATACTCAGTGTTTTGCTATCAAAAGCCATGTTCTCAAAGGGACAAAAATTGATTCTTAAATGGGTGGGGGGGGGAGGTGAGAACTCCTTTTTATGTAAAAACCAGAGATCTACACAGAGCTTGTAACAGACAGTATATTGGCTAAATTACAATTTCTCTTGGACGATAATTAAGAAAAAAGTCCAGAAAGTTTCCTTGGGGGGGAAGGCAGTAATGGAAAAGTGATTGCAGAACATAGCCACAGGGCACATGGACTATGTGGTGAACAGTTAAAGTATTTACTAGACTACATGGCACAGCATACACAGCTGTTATTATAAATATCATTGATTTTACATATATATATATAAAAATATATATATATGTATATATATATATATATTTTTTTTAATCTTCTTCCCTTTCTTCATGGACCAGCATTTCTTAAATTGGAGTTTGTGGTCCCCTGAGGGGGTCTGCATTCTGTTTTTAGACCTGTCTGAGTATTTCCTCTGGAATTTGTTTCACTTTGTGCTTTCGTTTTGATGACAATCATAAAAACAATAAATCATTATATACTGGTTCCCCTTTCTTCATGAGTCCTGCCACAAGATTTCATTGTCCACGTTTACATCTGTCTTTTAAGGCAAGAATTCTACTTTGATGCTTATGGGCCAATAAGGAATAAAAGGGGGGAGCAGACTTAAAGATCGTGAGTGAAACAGTCAGACTGAGTGAAGGCCCAGTGGTGTGTCATCGTGTTCTGGGAGGAAGGACTCCTGAGTTTGAATGGAGGAAAATGGTGGGCAGGCCAAGCCCTCACTGTGGGGGGGTGGTAGTATGGGTATGCCCAAACCAAGGGAATATTGGCTTTAGCAGCAAGTTCTATATTTACATTTTGTAAGGCAATTTAATCTCTCTGCAAAATAACATCATCTGCCACATTAAATTAATGCTGTTAATTTGAATTTTATGGAATTTCTTGTTTTTGTGTTTAATTCGTTACTTTGTTTTGGTCTTATTGTTGAATCAGAGTTAAAGCATATGGAGTTTATTTTTAGGTTTCCATTTGTGCATCACTAAATAATGGTATACTGAAAATAATTTAAGTCTCCATTAGTGGTGAACAGCAATGCTTTTTGCCGTATTAAAGGGAGTATTGGCATTACTTAGGTTTGAGGAGTACTGTGATGGACTCATAGAATCATAGACAATTTGAGCCACTGGGAATCACTCAGTCCAACCTTCTCTCCTGCCACATGTGGACACTGAGCCTCCTGGAGAAGAAGGGAGTGTCCAAGGTCAAAAACAAGGAAGCAGCAGACTGAGGTTAGAGACCACACTGACATACTTCTAACTACATACCTGGTCTAATATGTCCACCCTGTCCGAAGGTGAACCACGGCAGATGGATGACAACCACGGCCAGGCCACAGAATGGGCTAGCACAAACCAATGAAGAGTTGCTGCGTCATCTTGGCTAACTCTCAGGGAGGAGGATGTGCAATGGGAAGGGACAACAGAAATAACAGCCTTGTCTCAGAGCCAGAAGTCACTGTGAGCCATGGACAGTGGTAAAGGGAGATAATGGCCTTTGAGATTCCTGCTCAGGTGGTATCACCCATGACCTTGGTGTGTTCCGTTATTCCCAACATTGACAAACAAATCCCAGAAGCTCTTCAAGCGAAGCTCATCTGTGCTTTTCAGCTCTGTATTTTGACGTAGGCTCACTCCCCCAAACTGGGGTGTGTGCCACTACACAGGGAACACTACTGGGAATGTGTTTCTCAGCCACACGTAAGAGTCCCGATCATACCATGTGAAGCAATAAGAACTCATTTGTGATAGAATTGAGTGATCATTATATTAGTTTTCTCTTGTCACATGACAAGGACCACAAACTTAACAATAGCTTATTGCAAGATACATTTATTTTTTATTTTTTATTTTTTTAAAAGATTTTATTTATTTATTTATTTATTTATTTATTTATTTATTTGATAGCGATCACAAGTAGGCAGAGAGGCAGGCAGAGAGAGAGAGGGGGAAGCAGGCTCCCTGCCTAGCAGAGAACACGATGCGGGGCTCGATCCCAAGATCCTGGGATCACGACCTGAGTCCAAGGCAGAGGCTTTAACTCACTGAGCCACCCAGGCACCTCAACAAGGTACATTTACTACCTTGCAGTTTTCAGGGTCAGAATTCTGGGCCTGGATCAGCTGGCAGTTTTGTTCTGGTCTCACAGAGTTGTTGTGATCAAGACACTGGCCAGGGCCAGCTCTCATCTGAGACTTCGGTGAGTCCTCTTCCACGCTCACTGGGCTGTTGGCCAAATTCATTTCCTCCCAGCAGCAGAACTCAAAGTGGCTTGCTTCTTCAGATCCAGTCACCAGGGTCTCTTCTCTAGATTCTTGGAGAGAGCTCACCTATTTAGGCCAGGCCCACCCAGGGTAACCTCCCTTTTAATGAAAGTCACCTCATTAGGAAATTAATTGCTTTTGCCAAACCCCTTCACCCTTGCCATATTCTCTTGCTTACAGGCAAGTTACAGGTTCTGCCTACACTTGAAGGAAGAGATTATCAAGGACATGGGCATCAGCTTAGACTGTTGAAGTGGCTACAAAAAAAAATACCACAGACTAGTGGCATATAACAACAGAAATCTAATTCTTACAGTTCTGGAGACTGAAAATTCCAAGAGCAAGGTGTCTGGGGAGAGCTTGCTTCTTGGTCTATGGGTGGCTGTCTTTTTCGTATGTGTTTACATGATGGAAGGGACCAGGGAGCTCTCAGAGGCCTCTTCTGTTAGAGCACTAATCCCATTTGTGAAGTCTCCATCCTTATGCTTTAATCCCTTCCCAAAGGTTCTACCTCCTAAAACCATCCTCCTGGTGGTTAGGTTTTAAGATGAATTGAGGGGTTGGGGTGGGGGACATTGAATCTGCTCACTGCAGTCACTGACCCTTCCGTCACTAGGTAGTGAGTATGGTTCATATTTGCCATCTTCTGTATGACACTTTGAGAATGTTTAGTGACGTTAGTGTCTATCTTCATAGTAAAAGGAAGAAGAGTAGAAACTCAGCTCTCAGCTGAAGTAAGATTATTTACACCAGGGTTTTTCAACCTCGGCATGACTGATGTTTTGTGCTGGAGAATTCTTTCTTGTGGGAGCTGTTCTGTGTGTTGTAAGGTGTTTGGCAGAATCGCTGACCTCTACCTACTAGGTGCCAGTAGCATCCCTTCCCCAGTTGTGACAACTGAAAATGGCACCAGACTTTGCCAAATGTCCCCTTGAGGGAAAAACATCCTGCTTGATAACTACTGCATTAGATATGTAAGCATTTTTTGTTTGTTTGTTTTTTTAAAGGAGAACCTATTAAAACAGGGAATTTGGTTTTTAAGGTGATAAAACTGTTTGGAGCCAGCAGGTTCTTACTATTTGGATAATGCCTCATTCTTAGATGTGCTTTTGTCCTCTACTGGGAAATGGATAGTTTATAGTTGCAAATAAAAAATTAATACTGTAGATGAGTTTCCCACATGTCCTTTCTTATTCACACATATGCCAAAATGAGATTACGTTATCACATGTTTTATAATCTTGTCTGCGTTTATAGTCGAGCTGTACTGTAATAGGGCTTTGGTTCCGCTCATATGGGTCAGATATTTAATGCAAGAGGCAAGAAACCTAATAAACTCCCTTCTTGGTATTATGGCTCCTTTCTTGGAAACAAGCGATATGGCTCGGTATGGGACAGAGTGGATGGCATGGTCCATTTCTGAAGTTACAAAACTCAAAAGCTGCTCATTCCTGTTTTCTCTAGGCAAAGGCAGCTCAAGCATCTCATCCGACGTGAGTTCAAGTACAGATCACACGCCGACCCAAGCCCAGAAGAATGTGGCTACCAGTGAAGGTAGGCATCTGGTCTTCATTATCTCTCTCCCTGTGTTCACAGTGCAGGCTATTTTTGGAAGACAAATAAAATGTGAGTCTCAGTTCTGTTCTACTGAGTGGGAGAATATGAGATTCTTAAAAATGAGAAGGCAAAGAGTTTCCCGAGTTGCTTTTTTGTTGCTGTGTTGTTGCCGACTGATGAAGGAGTTTCGATAGCAGTCAAGTGTCTCAATTCTATGGCAAATGCTGTTATTTTGTGAAAATATAATAGGCTGATGTCTGGGGAGCCTTCATGATGTTATCTGTCTTGTTTCTCAGTGTGGAAAACATTTTGATTATAAAATTCCCATGTTGTAGTTGAAAGTTCCTGCAAGAACTTTCAAAATAGGCCCACTTGGAATTCAAGATATGGACAATGGGAGGGTCACAATCATGTGATTTGTAGATCTTGAATTAACCATTATGTGGAGGGGGAAAAGAGGTTTGTTTGATTATTTAAAGAATACGTGGAAAGTCCTGCCTCTCAGGGCAAAGACCGGCTCCATTGATGGTCTTGATACAGATTTTCACTCTATGTCATAACACTTGTTGGAATTAATTGCTCTGCATGGTGCAGAAGCATTTGTGTTATTACTTGTTTGCGTGTGGGGATCACTGTTTCTGTGGTAGTTATTTAGTGGAAAGCTGACTCAATGATGGAATTAGTTGTTTTTATTTTAATGTTAAACACAATTAAGTGAGTTCTTTTCTGAAGAAGAACTCCTTCTAAATTAATGGTTGAATGCAGATCTGGTGTAAGATGTCGATGCTGCTTATAATAGAAGATCCAAGGTGAGGTGGCCGTGTGTAGAGCCTGCTTTCTTCAAATGTGCAGGGTGTGCGGAGGTTCATGTCTACACTCTGTCTTGAGGCTCACTTTAAGCTGCTTGCAGTATTGGGAAGAGTAACCCCATGACCTGGGGTTGGTCTCAGTGTTTGGTTGTTCTTAATCTGCGTGACCGTGTGTGCGTGAATGATGGGGGTTGACCCCCCGTGTGGATGTTTTCTCTTTGGGTATTCTTAGACTTGATGTGTTTCAAACAGACTGATGTATGAAGAGCTTTTATAATGGGATTATATTCCCTGATGTTTAATGCCTTAGGGTTGTTTCACCAGCATTTTAAGGCAGACAGATCGGGTTGTTCTCCTCAGGGCTGCAAACCACCCGATAGAAATCCAGTTTGAATTTTCTGCCTGTTAATTCAATCAGACCACTAGGTCATTCTTGAAATGCAGTTAAGGTAACATGCAAGTCAGGTAAATTGACTCTAGACATTTGTTTTTGAGGATTCCATTCTTAGGAGCCCAAGTAGAAATCACTTCAACATAACGTGTTGACTTACAGTTCTCTCTAATCAGAAATCTTTGTTTTGTAAGATAATCACTTCTTTCTGCCATGATTTTAGTCACTCTTGTTATAGTCATAGTTTGGCTAATTGGAGTGGCTGTGAAAATCAGAAGTTAAAAGTTTGTGAGATAATATCTCTGTGTTTCCCTCTCCAGACTGAAATGTTCATATTATTGTTTTCTCTTTTTCAAAAACAGAGATTATGAAACTGTATGGGCTCTGTTGCAAGGGTTGGGGGAGGGGACTGCAGGACTTCATGCGTGAAAAATGTCTTCTTTTTATGCTTCAAGAAAAAAAAAACCCTCTATAGGGATTTCAAATTTTCATCTTATTCTGCCTTTTCCTTAGGAAAATTCTTTTGATGTAGGGCTCAGCCAATGTTTTATACATTTTTGTCACAATGCATTTCCTACCATTCTGAGGGTAAACTCAGGAGAGAAAAATGAGAAAATATGATGTTCATGTGAAACAGAAATTTTAGCAACTGGGCTAAATTAATAGGGAATGTTTCTTCCAGCTCTTAAATGGAAAAACCCCATCTCTATGGAAGATGCTATCCATTTTGTGTGTGTGTGTGTGTGTATCTGCAAAATTAAGGTTTTTTTTTTTTACTGTTTTATGTATGAATCCATTTTTCTACTGTTTTTTAATCAATAGAAGTAAAAAATATTTTTGAATAAATTAGGTGTGGGTGCTATCTCCATAAAATTGTATTTCAGGGATGTCTGCTGCAGAGCGATCTTGCTCTCAGGCTGGTTTTTCAAGATGGAACACCAGCCAGCGTTCATTTTCTCAATGCACAGGTGACAGAGTCCTGGTCTGCTTCTCAGGATTATGGTGTCCCATTCTCGGACCTCCACAAAGTGGGTTTATCCAATGTTATACGCGTTTGCTCCTACCAGAAAGCACCTACTAGTCATTGTGTGCCAAGAAACAGAAACCGGCCACCAATTTCTGGTGGAACCTATTAAAAAATGCTTCTCTGGTTCTCTTCCCACTGTTTCTAGAACCGTGTTTAACCTTGGTTGTTAAGAAAGTGTTGGGCGAGTAGTATAACTGGTTTTCCAGAAGTGGTTTCTCTACCATTTCTTTCTTCACTTCTTTGATCATCTTAAGAGAACTTTTCACCTCTGAAATTAACAATATCCTCTTCAAGAAACAGGCAGGATTCTCAGGTTAAAGGTCTAAGTGCTACTGATTTCTAAAAATGAGATATGTTGTGAAGGACAATATTTGGTTTTCCTGCAGCCTTTGCAAATCATGGCCATACCTATAATAGCTGAGTTGGAAGCCCTGGGGAGCAGAGTTGGATTTCTCTCTGGTGGGCTGGATGGGGAAGGTATTATATCAATTCCCAGCCTGGGTGGGAGGTATGTACGTGCATGCACCTTGTGCCTTTGTGTCCGGCCTCCACGCGACAGCCAATGGCAGAGTTATTGTGTCTTGCCAGGAAGCACTAAGGAACCTGTGCGGTGCAGGTGAGGAGGGGGGCGCCTGACCTGAGGACATGGGAGCTGAGGGGAGGGAAGGGCGCCCACATACCATGCACCAATCTGGGACTGATGGTGGGAATGGGAACTAACTGTGACAGACACCAGAGATCTGACTGGAGAGATGACCGTGTTCTAAAGTTGGATCGTGGTGAAAGTTTCACAACACAGAACATTTGCTAAAAGTCATTAAACTAGACCCATGAAATGATTGTCAGAATCTACTGCTTCTACCTGGCCTTCAGACTTGCATGTAAATCAGTACAAACTACTCTTGGAAAGTGCTACCTCCCACCTCTGGGGAGAAGTCTTGAACAGTGGTGAGAAGATCCCTTAGGAGCGTGGGTCTTGGCCATACAGAGAGCAGGGCTGCTGGCTGAAATCTTCTCTTGAGATGCTCAGGCCTCTGGGCCAGCACTGCCCTGAAAGTATCATAAGGAATCTCTGGACCAGGAGTGTTCACAGCCCCGCAAGTGGTGTCTGGTCAGAGTGGACTTCTCCTAGCACATACTCTCCTGGAAGGTTCTGGAAGACATAACAGATGATAGACAAGTTTCTCAAAACCTCTTTTTTTTTTTTTTTTTTTAAGTACAGCTTTTCCTGGAGAATCTCTAACCTCAGCTTGGATTTTAAGTTTTTAGCAACCAATCCTGATTGTTGGTTAAGGCCTTGGTCACATTTATTCATTCTAGTAAATGTAAGGACTCATGTCCTTACCGTCTTCCTGATGTTCCCACTCATCCACTTTGGGTCATGAGGCTGTTCTGCCAGGCATGGTGGGCATAGACGGTGGTACAGTTCATTTTTAATCCAACAGAGAATAGTATTTTTTTTTCCACCAAAATGGTAGGGTTGCATTCCGAAGTCTCATGCAAAATCTTTGTGCCTCTTAATTTTGTGAGTCTAAACCCACACCCCTTTTAAGGAATCGGCAGCCTGCAGCGATTTCTCCTTGATAAATGTTATAGGCTTTCTTTAAACCCCATTATATTTCTTGTGACAGTTTAAGTTCCTGGTTTCCTGACACTGTAGGGGGCTTGGGTTAAAGTGCAGAACGCTGGAAACATTCCATTTTCCCCAACAAAATCTGCATTCCAGCATCATAAGCCACAGCTTAATTCTTTCCAGTTGTGTTGCTATTCTTTCTGTTACACTTTTTTTCAGTCTTTCTCATCCATGGGGTGTTCTCCCTTGTACTAGGAGGAATAGCCTTTGACTTTCAGCTATGAAAGTCACGTCCAGCCCGTGGTTAGAATAGAGCACACAGCAGCCAGCCTGAAAGGACGGAAACAGAATCAGTTGGATTGGGTTGGATCATGGAGAAGCTTCCTGGAAATAGTAAGCTCAGCTGGGGCTTCTTTCTCAGAACAGGGTTATGAGGTTGTGGCTTTAATGGTGGCATCTCAACAACTCTGACTTCTCTTGAGCTGGGGGAAGGTGACACCGTTAGTTCAGAGACCAAATGTAATTGGCTGATGAACAGTCAGCTTCATCCAGCTGCTCCTTAAACCTCTTCAAGTTCAGATATTGAACTCACTGACAACACGATTTATAGGTGAGATGGCTTATAAATGTTGTTATCAAGCCAGCCAAATATGGAATCATAGGATTTTTTGGAGCTACAAAGGTCCTGGCAATTTTCTGATCGAATACACTCGTTTTACAAAGAAATCCCCGAGGCACAGAGAAATAAAGAGATTTGCTCAATATTACACACCTAATAAATGGTCGAGCAGGAGTTTGACCCAGTATTGTTTTGGTGAGAGATGGTCAAATCAGGAAGAAGCATGACCTTTAAAAAAATTATTTCCTTCTAAATGTGAAGCTCTTTAATTCTGCTTGGTCCACCTGCTAGCTGCTCATTTTGAGCTGGTTGACAGGAGGAGGGAGGCCGTCCAGAAGAGTTTGAGGAAGACTTGAGTTCAAATAGAGCAGTACTTCCGATGGGAGGAGAAGGTCTATTTCGAGTGGAAAAAGGATCTCAACCCACTTAGATAGGTTGGCTTCTCACCTGGAGATGGAAATACTACCTTTAAGTTGGCTCATGATTATAAAATAGCCTTTCAGTAAATTCACTGAATATTGTTTTGTGAAACTGCTTATTTAATTAACTCCCTGAAGGAAATTAATTTTACAAAATGA